AGGGACACCCAGCCCTTCAGGTCATCCAGGATGCCAGCTCCTCCAGGAAACATTTTGTGGTTCCTCCAGCCTAGTGTGATCCCTTCACTCCCCGAGGAAAAACCCAGGAACATTTAACTTATTTAACCTATATTTTTATGTTTGTCCCATGCTGACGTGGAGTGTGCTATTGTTACTCACGTACTTTTTTGAAATTTTACCCCAGCAATTGCAAAGTCCTTGAAAACCCAGATTGTTTTTTCAACTTGAACGCCACTCCGTGCCCTACAGTATTTACTGTGTGTTTCTTGTCTTCGATGGAGGAAAAGTGAAAATCTCTTTCCCTAATCTATTTCCTTGTGTTCTATTCTGCACAGGTATTAATAGAAACTGCAGTTGGGCCACATGTTTACAGAAAGCACAAATAGTTGCTTTTGGAAAAAACCATAAGAACACACAGAGAAAAAGCTGCGTGAAGTCACAAGAAGAAGGCAGCCGTCTGCAAGACAAGTAGAGAGGCCTCAGGAGAAACCAGACCTGCTGACACCTTGACCTTGGACGTGCAGCCTCTGAAACGGTAAGAAGTAATTTCTGTTGTTTAAGCCGCGGAATCTGCGGTGTTTCGCCACGGCAGCCCCAGCAAACCAGCCCTCCGCCTTCTTGCGTGCCTATCTGGCGGTTCCTTCTTAGTATCTTTACAGGTTTGCTTTCTTCCACTCTTTGGTCAGTGCTTGTGCTCACCCACTGTGCTCTGTGCCTCCCTTCTCACTCCTCCTGGGGGCCACATCTGCTTCTGCGGCTTCACTGAGATATGATGATTCCAAATCTAATGGTCAAGCTTTGACTTCTCCCCTATGCTACAGTTTTTCCAATTGTCTACTCAGCTGTTTTCATGGATGTTCCCCTGGTACCACAGGCTCATTAAGCTAAAATCGGACTCCAGAATATCTGCCCCTGGGTACATTCCCCATATCAAAAAAAAAAAAGGCTCTGTCTCCAATGGGTAGCCCAAGCCAGAAACATAAAAACCAGCTCCGAGTTTGCCTCTCTCTTACCCTCCAGAACTAACTAGGCATTTAGGATCTGTTGTTACTGAGTCCAGGTTCATACTGCTCACCACTCGACAGGCCAGTAAATTGGGAGACGAGGTGGTGGGGCAAGGATTAGCGACTTTATTCAGAAAGCCAGCAGACTGAGAAGTTGGGGGACTAATATCCCAGAGAACCATGTTCCCCATGTCAGAATTCAGGCTCCTTTTACACTAAAAAGGGGAGAAGATGTGGTTGTTGCAGACTTCTTGGTGCTGGCATCCTTTGTTCTTGCAGCTGTGTGAGGAGGTCCAGTCACAACGTCCCTGTAAACCTCCAACCAGACAAATGCTGTTTTCTGTTCTGCAATTTTTTATCTCTATATGAATGGGAAAGTGTTATACCCTTAAAGGTCAGACCCTGAAGAATGAGCTGTCCTGTGTATTTCAGGCTCTAGGTGACATTCTTTTACAAAAGGTGCAGAACCAGCCTGACTCAGCACAGGCAGCAGCACAGAGGCAGAGCCAAAGGAACAGGTGTAATATGGAGTCAGCTCTGTTCTTCCCTCTTACACAGTTACTTCCTGAATATCTGTTGAGTCTGCTTGTTCTCACGGCCAGCGCTGACATTTTAGTGCTGTCTCTTGTTATTTCACGTAGTAATACATCAGTTTCCTGATCTTCATACCTAAGTCTCACCCTTCCTACTCCATCCTTCACGGCTGCCACAATGTTCCCCTCTAGAAATAACAACCACATTAAAAATGATCCAGTGGCTTCCCATTGCCTTCAGGCTATGATTTCAACCTACTCTTCATCCACTCACTCACTCAGTCAGCATCTGATTCTCTACTGTGACCCAAATACCGGGTTAAGCACTGAAGATATGAGGACTCAGAGAACGTAATCCGAGCCTTAACTAATGAAGGGCGTTCATTAGGCTTTGTTTATGACCTAACGTGAAACATAGATACGTAAACAGATAACATTGGTAAGTCTGCTAATAGGATTGTCACAATGGTGATGAGCTCCCGGTGCCAGGAAGCAGGCCCCAGAGGCCGTTAACCCAGCCTGAGAGTCAGAGAAGGCGGGGCGGGGGGGGGGGATGCCTTTTGAGCTGAATCTTGAAGGACGATCAGGTGAAGGCGGGAGGAAGGATGTTGTGGATACGCAGATCGGCAGCGTAAAGACAAGATGTGTGAGCTTGGAGTGGGTAAGAAAATGCACAGATTTCAGAAGGCCTGGAGTAGAAATTGGAGAGGATTTCAGATCGGGTGTTTTGGCTCCAGTTCAGCTTACCCCTCCCTGGAATTCATGGTCTTTGCCTGGTGTCTGTGTAGTTCCTCCCACTGGAATCAGGGTTCTCATTCAGCAAATACTAGCATGGGGGTCTTTATCGGGGTGGGTGAGAGATGAGGAGGATAATAGAGCTGTAACTTAGACTTAATAGAGTGTAAATGCTATATAAATAGCTGTAAATACAATGTAAATGCTATGTGAATAGTTGCTGGCAGCTTGGGAGAGTTCAAGTGTTGCTTTCTAGAACTTTCTGGAATTTTTTTCATGTCCTTTTCGTTTGTGATTGGTTGAAATCCTCAGGTGTGGGATCTGTGGATGCAGAGGGCCGACTGCACTTGCTTCCTTGGAGATGCTGTGCAACTTCACTCTCATTTTGACGTTATTTTTCAAGCTCCAAAATTATTCAACTGAGCAAATAGCTATTAACCAAATTACAAGACTTGAAAGTTAGAAACTTAATCAAACAGAAGTTATTACTTTCATGACAGTGAACTGTTCTAATTGTTCATTTCACAAAAGTACCAACTCACTTAACAGTACAAGTTCAATGGCTTGAAAAAAATATATATATATATATTTGAGTGAATTTATTTAGTTGGTGTCAGAGAAATGATGGTGACCATTTTAAGAGCTACATGAATTTATCCTTTGAATCCATGGTATTACACAGCTCTGAGCAGGTAATAGGCATGTGTGCTAATCGGAACCAATGAATATGGTGAGATTTTCTGGTAAAAACTTTGTAGTCTAGTTAAAAATAGGTATTTGGATGGTAATGGTAGCATTTAGGAAGTTTTATCAAAAGACTCTACTTTTTGCCACTATAAGCCATCTTTTTTTGCTGCTGTTTTTTTGTTTCATTTTGTTTAATGTAGGCGCTGGGGATGGAACCCAGGACCTCGTGAATGTTAAGCATGTGCTCACCACTGAGCTACACCTCCTGTCCCCTACCTGAGCCATCTCTTATCTTTGATCAACTCCAGAGGGTTTGTCACTTGACAGAAAGGAGGTCAGAAATGAATTCTCAGGGATGAAATAACTGGTGTGCAGGATTTGTACATTGGCTCGAAGGAGTGGAGCTCCGGGCCTAACCCAGTACCCCGTGTTCAGTCACTGTGGGAGCTTCTGACCCTTGATCTCAGATTAACTGAATTCTACTGCTAGAAAATTGTCGATTTCCTGGAGTGACTGTTTCCTGCAAAATACTTTCAGAATATCTGAAAGGACCCAGAGCAAAGTCTGCATCTTCCCACAGAGGAAGTCGATGCTGGCTTGTTAGTAAATGTTTGTGCATGGAGCAGAAGTCAGCCTGAGACCGTCTTTCTTTGCTCAGTGTTCCCTGGTAGGGGGGAGGTAGTTCTCGCCCCTTTCTAGCTCCCCTCATCTACCAGAGGTAACCAAATATTTGCCAATGACAAACTGGTCAGTTCCCGGCCGTGCTATAAACACAGAAACTTTAAATTAATGGCTAAGAACGATTGCAGAGACTGTTTCGAAACAAAACCCTTAGCCTGCGTGTATCGGGTGAAGAATTCCCAGTGTGCTACGTGCTCCTACATAATCATCTGGACAATCCTCGGAGGTTATTAATGATTAACATGCTGAATCATGGGGAAAGCATGAGCCCCTGGTGCTGCAGGCATTTCAAAGGGCTGCCTCCTTCCTGAGGTTGCCAGTGGACTCACTGGTTCCTGCCCGTTTAAAATTACCAAGGTAAATGCTTATCTCGAAGACTCAGTGACATTAAAGCCTCTGCCCTGTGGGGTCACGCCCCACCTAAAGGCTATCGGAATGCCACCAGTTCTATGGGATTTCACAGGAAGTCGTTCCCAGCGGCTGCCTTTGAAATTTATCATTAACCATTCTGTCTCCACGCACAAAACAAACTCCTGCAAAACAATGCAAACATTGAGCTCTTTTCGCAACACTTAATGTTCTGTTTGCCTGATTTACCTTTTATTATGGTCTGCTTTTTTCATCTCAGCCATCTACTCCCATGAACCGTCTCTGCCTCTTCTCTGGCGAACACCCATGTTCTCCAGGACATTTTTCTCTGACTAAGAAAACTAGATTATGGTTTTACTGCAGAACTTCTATAAGTTTTCAAATCAGGTCCTCTGCCTAAATACTTTTTCAGAAAGATAACAATTCTGTACAGAAAATTCTACTTCTGAGTGAAGGGTAGCGGCTTTAGTCAGACCTAAAAAATAATATTGGTGTAGCATTCTTCAATTGGCAAAGGGTTTCTTGTAAAAGCCACCTGATGGAAGGCAGGCAGGAATTATTACTAGAACTACCAAGGTAAATGCTTATCCATTCGACAGATGAAGAAATTGAGATTCCAAGATACCAGTGGCTTGTCCAAGGCTCCACATCTAGTCTGAGCCAGTGAGACAGGAGGGAAGGGGTCAGGGCACAGCCAATCAAGGAATGACACAGCAATTAGCACCAAGATGGCGGGAGATTCAACTCCCAGTAGACCTTGAGCTTCATTATATGCTCATTATAATACACTGCTCACACCTGGCTCCGGCTCTGGCCCCTTACCTCAAGCCCCACCTCAACCAAGGTGATAGCTGCCAGCACACGCTTGGGGAAGACATGACCCATGCTCCCTGCAGATCCAGCCCTCCCACCAAAGCCACTGGGCACATGCAGATTGTATAGGGACATTCCAAAGCAAGGATGCTCCTTCAAGATCAGATTTTCAATAACTGTTTCACCTAATTTCATAGAGTCAGGGAAAGTTAAATAAAATGAGAAGATAGAGAAATTTCTTTCAAATGAAAGAACAAGGGAAAAAAAAACCTCGGGGAAAAAACAGTAATGAAACAGATGATTTACCAGTTAGAGTTCAAAACATTAGTAGTTAGAATGCTAACTGAACTTGGGAAAAGAATAGATGAACACAGTGAAAATTTTAACAAGGGACTAGAAAATATGAAAAGAACCAGTCAGAACAATACAATACAATAAATGAAATTAGAAAAAAAAATCTAGCAGGAATTAATAGCAGAATAGATGTACAGAGGAATGCATAAGTGTTCTGGAAGATAGAATTGGAAATTACCCAATCAGAACTGCAAAAAAGGAAAACAAATTTTAAAAATGAGGACAACTTAAGGAACTTCTGGACAACATCAAGCATACTTAAATTCACATGATGGGGGTCCCAGAAGAAGAAGAAAGAGAGAAAGGGGTTAAAAATATACTCGATGAAACTATGGCTGAAAACTTCCTAACCCTGAAGA